GTCTTTGTAGGGGCCCGCAGGCAGGGCTCGAGGGGCCTAGGGGTGCGGGGCGCTGGAGCCGCGAGCCTGGGAGGACGAGCGCCCCCCGGCCCAGGTAGGGCCGGTGGGGGAGGGGGAGGGAACCCAAACTCTCCGGGAGTGGGGAGGGCGGGGGAGGGGAGAGGATGGGGGGGTGCTTCCCTCTCTGCGTCCCAAACAAAGTGTCACAAAGAGCTCGGCCCGCGGCAGTAGCGGAGGCGGCTGTAACTCAGCTTTTGTTCTCCTGGCTGGGGTAGCAGAGTCCTGGCCTCCCTATCTCCCAACCCTGCCCCCCATCGTCCTTCTGGCTTATCTTCCCTGGGAGGGGTCTGGGGTGCTGCTGGAAGAACCACTCCTGCGGGATCACAGGTCCTACTCTACTTGCCAACGGATTTCTGGGAGGGGGATTTTCCCAGGGGCTCTCTGGCCCACCCCATCTTGGCCCCCAGCCTGAAGATCGATGCTTACATGGCGTTAGGACCGACTTTTCTCAGGTCAGCTCCAGTGAAGGAAAATTAAGCTACATGCCCCCCTTAAATGTAGGTCCTCCAGAACTTTCAGAATCAGGGTCAAGTTAGGACATGCCTCGGGTAAGATTCGTCATAGCAGGGTGGCAGCAGGTGTAGCTTCTTGTCATCTGCTGTACATTCGGAGTCCACGGCTGAGGTTCCTGCCCCCAACTCCATAGTGAAGACGGGGAAGGAGGCTTTACCAGGAATTCAGTGTACAAGGTGGCAGCTGCTGTATAGGCTGGGCTTGGAGGAGCTGGTGAGCCAGGTGTCGAGGCCATAGAGAGGAGGCCATGAAAGTGAACTGCTGCTCTGTGAGGCGAAACTCCTCTTCCTTTTAATCCCGTCTAGCGCAGTGGTTATCATAATTATTAGCAGACTTGGGAGGTGTAGGATTCGCAACGGGGGAAAACATCAAATGTTGGAGATGACCAGAGACAGAGGCCCAGAGGCCTAGTTACAACTAGACCTCAGAGGTCTTGAACACTTGCTTCTTACACTTTGATTTGAAAAACTTTTAAACCACAAGGCTGAGGGAAATCTTGTTGGTTCTCCATTTACCAGATGCTTCTGTGTACCTGTCCTTGTTTATAATTTCCACCAAACATCCATCTTCTTTTACTTAGTAAGGGTTGAGGGTTCACATCCTCGTACGGACCAGTGTTCCTAGCATGAAGAGTAGTTGGCCTGTTGCTTTGGAAATATTCTGATTCCTATCTTTGGCCCTATAACCATGTAGAATCCAAATAAGGGCAAGATAACCCCTGATTCCCAGTGGGGATAGAAAGTAGGTCAGTGCTACTGTCTGGCCAAGTCTCGTGGATGGTGTTTAAGGGCTGAGTATAGAGAACTTGGTGATGATTGTCCATGGGCAGTACATGTGTGACTTAGGTTCCTAACCGGTTTACAGAGTCCCAGTCCTGGGCAGTGCGCTCCCCTCCTGAGATCGGGTTCCTGGAGATCTGGCTTGCCGTGGAGATGATGGAGATGGTTCTTCACTGGGCCTCTGAGGGGTCTCAGTGAATTTTGTTGATTTTAAGCTGTCCTCTGCGGGAATTCTTCCCCTGGGAATTCAGCTTCAGTTTGGGTCTTACATATCACTTTGAATCCTGGAGACGGCTGTGTGTAAAGTGGGTTTTGTTGGTGTGCCTGTGTGTGTGTGTGTGTGTTTGTGTGTGTTGGGGAGAAGCTGTGCTCTATTCTTGCTCTTTTTGGTTCAGAAATGAGGCCAGCTTCCCATTTTTTGCTTGCTGTTCCCATGTTTTGCTTGCTGTCCTACAGGCAGTTCTAGGGGCCCTAGAATATTCTCAGAATCAGAATATGTGCCCATAGGTTAGTCAGCTATGACCATGCAGTATTCCCAGCCTCCCTCCTCCCCCTTCCCCGGCCATCTGCTTCCTCTGAATATACCAGATTGGCTGTACACCAGGATGTTCCGGGAATCCCCAGGAGAGCAACAGAATGTGATGAACCCAAATACGATGCCTCAGTAACTCGTTCCAGGATGTACAAACTGTAACTGTCAGGACACTCCTTATAGCTAATTAAAAATTTCCTAGTTTCATCTATTTTCTATTACCTCTGTCTATTTTCAGTGACATCCAAAAGGCCAAAATAATCCCTCTGGCACTACTTTTTTTCCCTTTCCCCATGATACTCATTAAAAAAAAATTCTCTAGCTTTTCTCAGTGCTTTATTTGTGGTGCTAAAATGGCAAATGTGACCCCTCTAGCACTTCATAGCTCTATCTATGGTACTGAGGTGGCCAAAGTGGCTTCTCTGGTAGCCCACTGCTCTCTCCATGGTACTGAAGAAATGACCATATGTTTTAATATTTCTGGGGTCCAGAAGAGTGTTGGACTTGGAACTGTGACACTTTCAGCTGGAAAGGACCAACATTATAAGTTAGTCCAACCCTTTTACTTTACAGATGAGTATACTGAGAGGTTGAGTGATTGAAAGTTATGGGCTATTAATGGTCAGAATGGGCTGACTATTCTAACTCAGCTTTCATGAAATAGTGAACCTGGCCAGGCTCTTGGCTCTAGGAAGGGAGTTTATTTGGAGGATCCAGAGGGTGAGCAGATCCCTGAATTTGGAGCTACAGAAATACACATATCTTAATGATAGTGGAGGCTGTGCAGTGACCCTTAGACAAGGACATTTCATTAATTAACTTGTTAGGAATACTCCCAAAGCCCAGATTCTTCATACAACAGGCACTTTTCCCTTCATGGAGTCTAACCACATTTACTAAATGTTCAAAATAAGGCAGCTTTGGGCCCCCAGAGCCTTTTCTCTGCTAAGAGGGCTGACTCCTGGCCCAGTTCTCTTCTATTAAAGATCTGTACACAAAGTAATGCTCGCGTCCTTTTCTTTCTTAGTAACTCATTTCTGTTTCAGAGTGCCTGTTGTGGGAAGTTCTTTACATTTCAAATACCTACCCAGGCCAAGGCGTGCGCGTGGCCTTGACCATATACAGTATGGGGGAAGACAGGTATGACTGGATGACTTCTGTCAGGCTCCTAGGCCTGTTTCCATTCATTTTAATTCTGGGGTTGCTTCTAAGTCCAAAAGCTGACCTCTGCTGCTTAGAATCAGGACCCCCGCCCCCCCATCCTCTTCCTCTCAGTGCTCTTCTTCCCTGGCCCTGGAGCTCTGCACATCTCGGGCCTAGGGAATTTTAGCTGGAGAATTTAACCCCTTCCTGCTCAGAGCATGTACTGAGCCCTATCTGTGCAGATGGCCCGGCCCCGCCCCCGTCCCTCACTCCAGCCTCTTGAGCTCAGAGCCAGTGTAATCCTCCTCTTGTGTGAGGAAGCCTCTCCCCTGCAGAGAGGAGGAAAGCCTGCCTCGGAACAGCTCTGGACAAAGGGGCTGAGATGCCCCATCAAACCGCAGGCTCCAAGGTTTGAAACAGGGGAAGAATCCTAGATGGTATTTGCAGTTTTTAACCCTTTGCTCAGGCAGGCAGTGCCCCTTAACTTCCACTCCTCCCCCAACTCTCTCTTCCTTCGCTCTCTGTGTCCCCCTCCACGCCCCTCCCCCTCTGTCTGTCTCCAGACTCTGCTGCTGGGAGGTGTTTCTCTCCCATGCATGAATGAGTCTCTGTAATGAATGGAAATGAATGGATCAGGAATCCAGGCGGAGAGGGAGGGAGAGTAAGGGGGAAAGACCAAAAGGGTAAGGACAGAAGCAAGGACAGTGGAACCTGGCTGGTCAGTTAAGGGTCTGAGAGTGACTGGTCCCCACCTGGACAACTGGGGAGCACGGCCCCAAGCTCTGCTCAGTTGCTCATCAAGGTGCACAGCTCCACCCACACGGAACAGGGGCTGCTGTGATGCTGTGCTCCCCACCCTCCCCAGGTGGTGAGGTGGTACTGGTGCTCTGGACCGTGCCTTTAAAATGTATAATTAGCGGGGAGAAGACAGGATCATCAGGGAAGCTTTTGGAGCTGGCAAGTTGAGGGGCGCTGCTTCTGAGGACAGCAGAGCTCCCTTGTGCCTTAGGATTCAAACAGGAAGAAGAGAGGCTCAGGAATACAGGGTGCTAAGAGTCTGGAACTGAGGCTGACTCCCACCCTGATGAAAATCAGGGCTCACCTTTCTTCCATCTCTCTCTTTAGCTCCTCAGCACCTGTTGCCTTCACTAGCAGCTTTTCCTCCTCCTCCCTGAACTCCCCAGAACCAAAGAATGTGAAGGGGGTCCATGGAGGTGAGTGAAGCTCTGGCCTGAACCCACGAATACCTACAGAACAGCTATCACGGCCCTCCCTCCCCTGCCTGCCTTTGTTTTTACCACCTACTGTAAGTTGTTTGCTTGGCCCCACACCCAGTGCCCACCCATGCCTCAGCCTCCGGAGGTGAGTAGCACCAGCTCTTCTGGGTCCGGCCCCAACTCTCTTCCCTGGTGTTCTGGCCTCTGATGCCTTCACTAACTCCACAGGTCATCCTTCTCCAGCCTTGGCTCTGTGCTCATCTTTTTTCCACAGGGCTCACGTCCCCGTGTCCCCTGCGGCCACTTAGCGCCGTCACCACCTGCCTTTGACGGCGAACTGGATTTGCAGCGCTACTCCAACGGCCCAGGCGTGAGCGCGGGCTCGCCGGGGATGGGAGCGGTGGGCTGGTCTGAGAGCCGTGCGGGCGACCGGCGCTTCCCCTGCCCTGTGTGCGGGAAGCGCTTCCGCTTCAACTCCATCCTGGCCTTGCACCTGCGCGCGCACCCCGGGGCGCAGGCCTTCCAGTGCCCACACTGCGGCCACCGCGCGGCGCAGCGCGCTCTGCTGCGCTCGCACCTGAGAACGCACCAGCCGCAGCCTGAGCGGCCCCG